CAATCCTTCCACTTCAGCCTCCCAAGTAGCTGAAACTACAGGCATGCATCACCATGCCCAGCTAATTTTTGGATTTATTGTAGAGACGAGATTTCACCGTGTTGCCCAGACTGGTCTTGAACCAGCAGAGTCAGGCAATCCTCTCACCTCCGCCTCTCAAATTTTCTAGATGTGTAAAATGACTGTGTTAGTGAGGCCTGGCATTGGGTACAACTTCTTTTTGTCTTTTTTTTTTTTTGAGTCAGGGTCTCACTCTGTCACCCTGGCTGGAGTGCAGTGGCACACTCACAGCTCACTGTAGCCTCGACCTCCTGGGCTAAGGTGATCCTTTTGCCTCAGTTTCCCAAGTAGCTGGGACTACAGGCATGTGCCACCATACCTGACTAGTTTTTTGACTTTTTTGTAGAGACGAGATCTCACTATGTTGCCCAGGTTGGAACAACCTCCTAAATTATGGAAAAGAGAGGCAAAATTAGAAGATAGATAAAGCCAGTCCCACTAGAGCATGGGATGGTGAGACTGGGACCAAAACAGACAAAGCAGTAACCCACTGAAAACAGCTTGATATGTTATCTTGGTCAGGTCAGAAAGGGCCACTATGTTCAGTCCATTCAAGTAGACTCTGTCTGATGCTTTATTAGAAGGAAGATATAAAAAAACTTGCCAAGCTCCACCGATTATGGGACCAGAGCAGGAAGAGCAATTAGGTAATACCATTTGCTTCTCTTTTTTTTTTTTTTAGTTGGAGTCTCACTTTGTTGCCCAGGCTGGAGTGCAGTGGCACGCTTATGGCCACCGCAGCCTTGACCTGCTGTGTTCAGGCGATCCTTCCGCCTCAGCCTTCTTAGTAGCTGGAGCTACAGGCACACGCCACCATGCCCGGCTAATTTGTTTTGATTTATTGTAGAGACAAGGTCTCGCCAAGTTGCCCAGGTTTGACTTGAACCTCTGGACTCAATCCTCTCACCTCAGCCTCCCAAAGAGCTGGGATTATAGGCATGAGCCCAGCCTCATCTGCTTATTTTCATAGCTCTTTAATATTGAGGATTTTTTTAAAAAATGTTTTATTTACTTATTTATTTTGTAGAGATGGGGTCTCACTATGTTGCCCAGACTGGTCTCAAACTCTTAGCCTCATGTCATCCTCCCACCTCGGCCTCTCAAAGCACCGGGATTGTAATCTGTAGATGTGAGCCATTGCGTCTGGCATAATCTTGAGTTTTGAGACTGCTATGGTCCTTAAATGTTATAAGTATGATAAGGAAGCAGGTGACCCACTCACAGATCCTGGTTTTCATCTCTTTTGCTTCTTTTATTGGGCCAAAATTTCAGCTGGTAGATAATCAACTCATGCTTGGTTGTAGGAAACAGGCTTCGAAAGGTAAGCGCTGCAGATACCTCTGTGGGTTCCCTCTGTTTCTTTCATGCAATAGTTCACTCTTTTGGAAGGTACTGAAGTGAGAAGAGTGCCTCAGAGATGGAATGCCTATAAGCAACCATTTTCTGTTCTCCTGGAGGCAGGAGGTTGCCTAGAAGCATAAGAGACCATCTGCTTAGAAGATCACGACAGTGTGGTCTGCCCACTTTTGCCACAGTTTTCTCACAATTTTTTGCGGTGGCTGTTTCAAAGTTTTCCTTGGTCATGGATTTAATGTATCTAAGGATGATTTGTGCCTCTGGGGCTGCCTTTTATTTGACATAGCAAACCCAAGCAAATGATGCCTTTTTTTTGAGTTAGAGTCTCACTCTGTCGCCCACACTGGAGTGCAGTGGCCGCTCCCGGCCACCGCAGCCTCAACCTGCTGGGCTCCAGCGATCCTTCCGCCTCAGCCTTCCGAGTAGCTGTAAGTACAGGCATGCGCTACCA